GGCCAAAACCAGTATTCTCCAATCCCACCAGTGTTTATATAGACCAGGTGCCCACTTTATAACACTAGCACACTCCTAGGAGCCCAAGACAATCTAAACATTATAGCAGACATTGCTTAATACCATTAAAATTCAAAGAGACTTTAAACAAGAAGCTTGACTTAAAGAAAAGTCTTATTATTAAAGAAAAGTTGTCTAAAATTATGTGATGCTAGTGAGTTTTATAACATAGTTAACTTGCCAAAATAGCATTTCTGTACCTAAAATTAAGCTGATGAGGATCATAACTTGCCAAACACACCTGTGTGAGATACGAATTCAGATATTCAGTACCATCACAGCAGCTTTACAATAGCTGTCGCTGATGTGTGTCATATCACACAACTGATTTTCATAAATTAATACCCATTTTATGATGGAACAATCTGGAACAGTGTAACTGGAGCTTACTAACATCTTCTGTAAGCTTATGGTCTTCTAGCATCTCCTTTTGAACAAAACTAATTAAATTAACCAAAATGAACCCCAAGCCATAAGCACATGAAAAAGAAACAAATATAAAGCAGTAGAGGAAAAGGCATGAAGAATGGTATATAACTCTATACTAATGACTGTAACTTAGTTAAAAATAGTCAAAAAATCAATCACATTAAACCAATCTAATTTTCTTTTCAAAAGAAAATTTCAGGAGTGGATGGTGAAAGAAAAAGTGTTAAGGTGTTGCTTCACTTTTGAGAAAGCCCTCTGAGACTGTCTCTGTCTCCCATGACACTCCTATAAGCAAAGCAGAGAAATGGAGATGAGATTAGGTTACAATAATGTGGGAGTACCCAAGCTGGAAATCCATATTCCAAGAGAAGTTATCAATAGTTCACTGTCAAACTGGGAGGACATGGTAATGGAGTCTACCCTGCTCTTAATACCAGTCAATAATCTCATTAATGGCCTGGCACAGAAGGTGCAGAAGTAAAATTACAGATGACACTAAGAAGGCAACACAGCTATTTGGAGGTTAGCAAGAGAATTTTAGATGATCTTGATATCTATATACTTGGTACAAAAACAAACAAACAAACAAACAAACAATCATCAAAGTACTACACTTAAAAAAGAGAAAATACATGCTAAGTGCAACATGGGTAACAATTATGCTGTTGCAAATATAATGACAAATAAATTTATTGCAACAGGTTAGCTACCAAACCAGAAGCTACCAAACTCCTTCTGACCAAGTACATGCAAATATACTGCCAGGCTATCCATGTTTGCTTTTCTGTGGTATTAAACAAACTAACCAGGACTGTTTGCACCAACATCGTAAATTAAGAAGCAACTGAGTTAATGATCATGCCTGTATAGTATATTAAAAGTACTAGGTGGTACTCTCACAGAGTTGAAAAATATTCAATACTCTTCAGTGCAGAAGATTTAACTTAAAAACACATGGTTAATCATTTAAAGGCAACAGTCCTGAGCTAATTAGAAAATAACAAAGCCAGAGTGGTAGTGAGACACTAGGAAACTTCCAAAGGAATTTTAATTTTCATTGCTCAAATAAATGGATGGGAGAAACTAGGAAATTAAATTTTATGCAACATATCACCTCTTGAAATCAAAATTTGAAAAGTTCAACCAAAGGTTATACTACAGTGCAGCATTAGTTTCCCGCTTTGATCATCGATCCAAGGCTTTCACAGGATATTGGTACAGATCAGTTGTGACCACACATATGCTTTAGCTTTCTCTGTTTTAGTGGTACCAGCCAACAAAAGTTGCTTCCAAAGCTAGCTCATGTTAGTCCTCCTTGTCATATACAAAGCATCCAACTAAGTTTAACAATAATCTTAGGACAGCAAGCATCAATAACTGATTCGTTCTCTTCACTTGAGAAGCAAGGAGAAATCATTTCATCAGCTCAGTGGTTCTAAACGTCACGATTTTTTTCAGCTGGAAGAGGAATAAATGCTTTTTTTTTCCTTTGTGTCCCCTACTCGCCACTAACTAAAGGAGAAAAATTATGTGCTCCACTTTATTCACACTCTTTGATGTGTGTGTCAACTAAACAAATTCAAGCACCAGCAAGCTAAAATGTTGCAATTCTGCACGTAGAAAATTTCTAGAGGCACATGGGACACTTTAGCCATGTATTTCACAAACACTTGCAGGACAGAGCCTCAAGTCTCAGAAGACTTGTTTTTCACAGCTGTAGTGGAATACTAGGGACAGAGGTATTTCCAATGAAGATGGTTCTATGCATTTTCAAACATTTTCCTTTCAGATTCTTTAAACATGTCCTATGGAAATCTTATCTCCCTTCCTGGTTGCTCATCCAGTCTCACAAACAGACTCCTCTAGCCAATCTTAATACTCATTCAGATGCTTCACAGCAGTGTAATGGCATTCATATCAACTCACAGCCTCAGAAAACTGCAAGCAACTTCAAGAGATCATCCATAACAGTTGGAATGACTCTAAAGGCAGTACCAGCCTGTACATTTATCATTTCCAAAAGATACCAAACCATTTTTGAAAAAACCTCCCTACACTAATTGCCAGAGAAGAATTCATTGGTTTTCTTTTTCTGTTAGAAAGGTTACTTTGACATCTAATCAAAATCTCCCTGATGTTTAAGTCCATTAATTCCTGTTCTATCCAGCAAGGGCAGTAGAGATTTTTGCTTTTTTTCTTACAGCAGTCCCTATGTAATAGGAGGACTGAAGTTCCTCCTCAACATTCTCTGCTTTAGAGGAAAATAAGTGTAGCTACTTAATCTTTCATTGCATTTTATTTTCAAGACCTTGCATTGTTATCAGTGTTCCAGTGTGGATTCTGTCCAACTAGCCCACAATTATGGATATAATATTCCAGCTAAGACCCTATCAAAGCTGGGCAAAGCTGAAGATTTATGTCATACATTTTGAAAGTTACATTATGTCTGGTTGATGTATCTTCCATGAAAGGTTACTCACCTTTTGTTATACCACAATATTGTTAATTCACATGCACTGGTGATGTATTAGAGCCCACAATTTATTTTTTTTTCCTTTGCACAGTAGATTGTTCCTTGTGTTATAACTGTATGAGAATCTGCATGAAAATTACAATACTCACTTTTCCCTAATAAACTTCACCTAACACTTTTGTCAAATCATTTTTCCCTTCCGCAAGAAGCGCTCCCAATTCCACTACACTTCCAGTACCTTCCAATCTAATATCAATGGGAATTGAGGCCTAACCTGTTATTATCAGGAAGAATTCCACTCAGTACATCTTTCAATTTTAATAATGAACTGCTGGTAACTATTCTCCAAACACAGTGGATTCTTTTAGACAGAGTAATCCCAGTTCACTCATAAGACAATGTAAAAAACTAAGATCATCATCTGCTTCTTCTCTGTTTATAAGGTCTGTTACCTTTTCTCATCAGAAACTGTGATTGGTTTGACATAATCTCTCCCTGATAAACATGTGTTTCATTTGGTTGTCTCCCAGCTATCTTCCTGGCATTTAAACATAGTCTGATTATTTCTGTAAGTATTTTTCTGTGAATTGTAGTTAAGCTCACCTCATAATTTCTTGGTTCCCTTTTTCTTCCTTTTTAAAAACTAAATACTTGATTTGTCCACCACTGATACCTTTTCTCCTCCTCCGTTTCTCAATAAAACCCCAAAAATGCACTGTGAAATTTTATTTGCCAGTCTTGCAGGTTACAAGGAAATGAAGGCCATAAACCCAGTCAATTTGAAAAAATCTAATGTGTTTGTATTTTCTAAACTGTTCTTTCTCAATTTTGTACAGACATTATATCTTTTTGTAAGTGGTATGAATTCCACTAGTCACTGATTGACTTTGATTCTATTGGTGGGACTCATAGATACCAGGAAGACACCACTTTTTCAACACTATCAGTCGGCAATTTTTGCATTCCATTAATTTGCAGATCAACCCATTCCTAAATTGTCTCCTCATTATGAATACACTTACAGAATGATCTTGTGTTACTTAGGTCTCTTGCTATTGTATGACATCCTTGAGCTAGCCTCTGACTTCCTTCACACTACACTTTTCCATCCTTCCTTCCATTAAAAAAAATCAACTCTGATATTAATCCTTCTCTTGGATTTGAGATCCACAAAGCTTCCCCAGTGCTGCCAACATCTTTGTCTCTTTTGTTTCTCTTCCCAGTTCAAAATTTTCCTCAGATCCCAGACTCATTTGTTTACCTCATTCCTTCCTTCAGTGGCCAGCTATCCAAACCTCTGCCCTTGGAACTTCTATGTTCTCCTGCCTTAGCTTCTTGATCCACTTAATTCTAGGTCTCTTTCTATACAACTAATTACCAGATTAATTTATCTTCTGTTCCCACTTACTGTAGCCCTTTGTTCCTCTACCCAGTATACAGTCTTTCTGGAGACTGCTCCCAGATCTCCTTCTCAGCTCCTTACCTCCCATCTACTTATTCCTCATCATAAAACTAGTTTTTGCCCCTTCTGCACAGCCTCCTCTTCCTGTTTGCCACAGTCAAACAAGAAAACAGGCCACTGCAGAAATTGCCCAAAAATAAGGTTGGATGCTTGGTGCCAAAATTACATAAAATAATATGAACTGAAACATTCTTACCTCATTATGCAGAAGCACAAACGGGATATTCAATGAAACTCAGTAGTTAAAAATCTATACCAGTTCTACTGACTTTACAAAGGCTTAAAACTTGTGCTGAGGAACAAAAAGTCAGTGCAGCATATCTGTAGAACAAAGGCCAATTTTGCCTTGTTTCAGTCTCAGGGCTCAAAATGTTTGCTATAGTTTTACAAAAGAATACACTGAAATATTCTAGCAAAAGTAAAACCACGCGTCATCTCGCCTGAATCTTTTCCCAAGTGGTAGGATAGCTCCCAGTCTTCTTCCATCCCCTTTCATAACCTGTGCTCCTACATTCACAGCTACAATAAAGGCAGGAGCAGTAAAAATATGTTAGCACCACTCAGGAAATTTTTTACCTTGATGTCAGAAGTGTCACGCTGACTATTGCGCCACGCCCTTGAAATAGATGAAAAAGTTCTGTCTGCATGATCAAACTTCCCACCTTGTAGATTTAGGAAAAGTGTTGTGAAGGGTTCCTAAATATATATAAAAAGATTAATTAAAAACAACAATGTATTTCTTTAGAAGTTTCAGGGTAAAAAAAAAAAAAAGGATTTATTATTCTTGTGGGGTATGGCTGTTAACGATGTTATTTTTCTCGCAGACGCAGATTAATAGCAAAGAGTTAATTCTATTATCCAAAAATGAGAAGTACAAACAGATGCTTACTTACTCAATAAATGCTTTTATTGCTACTCCATGCATATATACTCAGATAAAGAAAAGCAAATAAAACCTAAAGAAAATACAGGCTGGAGTAGAAGCTACAGTCAGTTGCAACACAAATTGCTCTCAACAACAAGAAAAAGCTCCGATATATTACATATTTTTAAAGCTAGCATGTAACAAAAATAACACATTTTACTTTGTTCAAGGTGATCTCTAATGTAAAGGGTAGCATTCAATACTGACAGCTTGAGGATTGGTATTGTTTAATATATAATTTATGATTTAGGAAAATGTTTGGAAGATTTAAAAGCCTCCTCTTAGTTAAAGAACACTTAAGCACATATTAGTGGATAATTGCTTGAAATTAGCTAAGCTCTATAAATTACTTCAAGGATTTATGTATGCTTGTACATTCTAACAAGCTTTAATTAATGATGTGCTGCTAATGCTTTCCCAAAGAAATTACTTCCTAGGAGATAAATCGTCTTTCAATTTTATAGAAAAATGCATTGTTTAACCAATATTATCAATATGTAGCATCTTAAAAGTTACTTCCATACAAATTGCAGCAGATTTTTGCAAATTAATTGCTTACATCATGGGATTTCATGATCATCAGAAACAAACTCACGCTCATTAGGAGGTGAAAATTAAATACATTAATTAAGAACCACAAATGTTTGGTACTTGGTCCAGTCAGAAAATATGCAAAGAAGGAAAGTTAACAATGTTTAAAGAAGTAGAAGAATGTATATTAAAAAGCAATTTTTAAGAAGAAAAAGTTTTACTGATTTGAAAAGGCTCTACCACAAAAATTAAAATTCTCTGCTTGAAATTTAGAATATGTTTCCTCTACACTACTGATTACAATTACTAGAAAATTTCAGTACTCTCCTATGCCATTGTGTTTTAGTTTACTCATTCCTAGACATCTGTTGCTTTCATCATCATTAAAAGGAAAAGCATTTCTAAAATATATACTTACGATCCTTAACAGCCACGTGAGTGCAAAACTTGCTGTTGAGTAATGTGTGCCATAGTGGAATTTTGGAACCTGATCATCTTCCCACGATTCGTATCTCTCAGCAAAGAACGCTGCTCTCTTCGGGTTCAAAGCTCCAATAGGCTGCAAGATTTGTAAAAATAAATGCATTGAGTAAATAAAATTAATGTGATTATTATCACACCATACTCCCCTTGCTCTTTTTGAGCAGAATGCACAGAGACGTCTGGGTTTGGTGCTTTGCAAAAGCAGATGCTGGTTTCTGTAAGTGCCTGAAGAGATCCATTGTATTTTGGAATGAGAATTCCATGCACATGCACATGGCTGGGTGGAAAAATGTCTCTTCTGTGTTAATTTAGGCTTCATTTCTATTTACTGCTGACTCAAGTCCATGAGTAAAAACCAATTAGCAGTGGAATGTGTTGGACAAACTGGTGTGCTTGTGAATATTGTGCACGCTGAATACACTGTCAAACAAATAGTAAGCAACAATGAGAAACATCTCTGAGTATTTTTTGGAGAAAAAAGTAGTGACTGATAGGGTGGGAGAATATTAACAGTGGACTTGGAATTTTGATACTACTACTCTTGTTTCTGTGCTTCTATTCATAATCTTAAAACAAGTTTACTTAATTCATAAAATTTTAAACCTTGACACAAACAAATGAAAGACCAGAATTTCTATATAAAAACATTGAGACAAAAGAACCAACATATGTATGACTAAAAATATCATACTTTCATCAATACTGTTATTCTTTGTTCGGTGCTTACCTAGAAGATAAACACCCAGGGTTTTATTTAAAAGTAAGAAATATAATATTTTGATATCTAAAGCTGTGTATTTCTTCAATAGACTTTTACATACATGATTTGGAAAAAAAATGAGGATATGTCACACAAATCACTGAGAAACCCAAAAGTGAATTTAGCAATTCCACATGTAAACTGCTATAAGAGATCTAAAATATCTCTGGATATACATGCAAAATATATATGCAACACAAACTCATATACATATTGAGCACACTGTCTGTATGTTATTAATGTAAATTATGTTCATCTGTATCGACAATGGATGCATTCGAGTATAACCAAAGAATAAACATGAAAAAAAATTTCCTTCTTCCTCTTGTTCAAGAATAAATATACTTAAAAATACACTACAAGGTAAGGAAAAACTTTAAAAGAGAAGTCCTTGAACAAAAGTATCAGTAATTAGTCTTTAATTCAAGCATAGTTCAAGCGAAAAACTATGTCTGCTATTCAGATGATTATTTATTCAAATAACTACTTCTCTGCCGTTCATGTGAAATTTGGCATAAAAGCTTCGAAGTATTTTCTCTTCTAGGACAGATTAGATCTTTGAATGACCTAAGATCTAATCTTACATTTTTTTACTTAAAGCAGCTTTCACATTGCAGTAGGATAAAGAAAACATCTTAGGTTAATTACAATTTTTGCAGTTCACTAATTTGAAATATAACCCTTTAAAAGAAGTTGCTCTTGTATAAAAGGATTTTTATCTGATTTAGCAAATTTATTCCAGGGAAGTATGAAACTGACTCCAAGAAGTCTCTTTGTTGCAAGAACCATTTTGGAATCTACATCTGTACTGATTTTCCCTAAAGACTCAGCTATGCTTGAGGGGAAAAAAGAAGAAAGAAGGTCATTGGTAGACAAATTATATAAATTAAAAATAGAAACAGTGTTGTGTTGTATGGTTCTGTAACATTTTATGTATTCTCTTTATCTGCCTCTATTGTTATTACTCTCCAAATGAGTATAGCCCAAATCAATAGTTATAGAATTACATTCCTTGAATATAAAGCTAAATCCAATTAGAATTGATTTCATTCTCTTTTCAAAAAAAAAAAGGTATCATGCAGAGATCTATATAGCCAGAATCCACAGTATTGATTTTAGCTGTTATTGTTACAGTTGGTTTCTGAAGCCTGCAACAGGACAACTATCAAGACATGTCACATTTATTTGCAAGTAAATAAAAAAAGTCTCCAAATGAAAAAAGCTTAGGGAAAAAAAAAAAAAAAGAAGAACTGTGGAGCTGTGCACTGACAATGATACACTATCAGCTTACTCAGAGAAGTTACAGTGGGAATACACACATTGAATTATACATTACACGAATGCACTGATTTATTGTGGTAATAACATCCACCTCATTAAAAGATTCTGCTTTGCTGCAGTTGGAGGGCTACATATTGTTTACTGCTATAAATTAATGGCAGTGCACAGAAGACTGTAGAACCCTTCTAACAATAGATCTGTAATGACAGTGTTGTATATCACAGCTTCCCCAGCAGCTTCATAATAAAATGGAGACAATGTATTGGGCTAATACATTCTACCAGGCAGGCCCATATTTTTCTGACAACTGCTTCTAAGGATGAGGTGATTCTGGTGTGTTACACTGCACTGTGAACAGTTAACTACAGAATAAAGCACGTACAAGGAATATTCAAATATTCTCTGACATTTAAGTTAGCAAAAAAACCCCAATTAACTGAAATTCTGCCATTATTTCATATTTCAAAATTAACAGGGAATCATGATTACATACTGTACTCCCTCCCCTGTGGGTAAATGCCAAGGGAAGAAGAGTAATGCCAAGCTAAGCTATGCTTGATGTAGCTGTGAGACCAGAAATTTACCCTACGCAACACAATTCCCCTATGGCTACAGACCTCTGAGGAAGAACGAGCTGAAAAGCTTTCATACTCTCAAATTTCAGAGCATACTTTATTTGCAGCACCTCTTTTCCCAGAGGAAAATTAGATATTAGTGCAACAATAAAAAATGTTTATTTAGAGAGAGAGGGAAAAATGGAAAGTAGAGACAGAAAAATTCCAATAGGTAAAAACAATGGATGAGATTATGGGAGTAAAAATGAAGAGAGAAATCACTTATGGCTGCTAAGTATTCAAATGGTATTGAAAAAAATGAATGATGATGTGTATGGTTTTCAAGTCAGTGTTCATTCAAAAACAGGGTCCAAACTGGAGAGAGAATTAATGTAGAGTAGTTTCTGTTTTCACTTTTCCAGAGGCATGATTTACCTGCTTTTTGACCCAAAGTGGTGGTTGTTACATGTGCTACAAATACGAAAGTTACAAGCTATTTTTAAAGAAAAACCAAAACAAAAAACCAATCAAACAAAAAACCAACAACAAAAACACCAAACTCACTTGATATTAATTTTTGAGGGCTCTCAAATATGGGAATACCTCAAAATAAATAATCAGATATTTTTACCAAGAACTGAACATAGTAAATCTCAATATTTGGACCAAGCTTGCTTTCTTTGAGATATAACAAAGAAAAATGATTTGCTGAAAAATAACTGAGAAAACACACTCTTATCATCTACTGCTGTCAAATATGTCCAGACACTATGGTGTACAGTTATATTTGTTAGTTCTTAGTCTTACTCTGTGCCAGACATTGGAACAGTGACCCATCTTGCCTTTATTTTCAGAGGAGGCCCATTTGCACCCAACAGAAGAAAGTAGAATGTTCACTGCTCCTCTGCACAGGGCAGAAAGTCTCCTGGCTTCTGCCACTCATGTTCAGGAACACATATATTTTGGAAAATTGCTACTGAACTAAAATAAACAGATTGAATTCTTGTAAAGGAAGAATTACAGTACGACTATTTACAGTTCCACATTTAAGAAGAAAAAGAGCTGCTTTTTATTCCTATCTAATGTGGTTTCATATTTTCAATAGTGTTACTCCAAATAACACACCCACACTGTTCTTACCCGTGTTGCCTTTTGTTATTGGCTTTTACATATGTTTCTGTAATTGAAACAAATCTTGCCACTTTTAGTGTTTCCTACACAGTATAATACTGGGAAGAGTTTTTAACTCATTAATATTCAAAATCCATGAAAGAGAATATATACTATGTACTATGGTAGCTAAACTGCATTTAATTACTGCAAACAATAAGTAGTCAAGACACCATACTTTCATCTTCACTGTTAACTTTTGCCTCTTTTGGTGAAAAGGAATTCTTGACAATCAACTACTGGAAATCAGATTTGTGCAAGGGCCTGTGAGTTCTATGAATTAGACAGTTCCAGAAATAAGGTCTATGTTAACCAGTGCAAGCAGAAAGATTTAAAAAGATAATTAGAATATTATTATATGAAATCTGTATTTCACAACGTCTTCATCATGGGGAAAAAAAAAAAAACAAGGAAAGAAAGAAAATTAAAAAAAAATAAGAAAATAAGGGAAAAAAAGAAAAAGCACTTTTCCTTGTGACTTCTTATAATGTTTTCTTATCCACATCCAAACAGGTACTTGTATTCCTGTGAATACAATTGTCTGTATCATTGAATTATGTTTGGTAGCATCCTTGCCAAGTATGATGTTTGTTTTCCATGCATCTTATTTTCAAGATGACTATCTGGTTTTCAACACTGATATTTTTCATATATTTCATTGGGCTTAAAGGACCAGGGGGACCATTAGGTCATCTCATCTCGCCCTGTGTTTGTATGACAAACTGTGAAATGCCTTTCCATTACATGATTTTGAGCCCAACTACTTACACTTGATTACAGCATGAGCTGCATTTGGCCAACCTGCTTCCCAGAAAGGCATCTGACTCTTGAGTACGTGGACAATCTGCTACTTTTCCTGGAAGCTTTTTCTACTGATAATTCTGATCCTCATTTGAAAAAATATATATTTCATTTTGGTTATGAATTTACTGGTGTGTTATCAAAGAAATCTTGTTATACTTCTCTCTGACATATCACAGAGTCTTTATTTACCCAATATTTTCTGAATATAAACATACTTATAGACTGTAATTCCACCTTTTAATAAACGTAAGACATGGAGCTCTTCAGGTTTTCCATTTTAAGGCATTTCTTCCACCCTTAAAATTTCTCTGCAGCTTGCCTTTAGAACTAGCAGGATATTATGACTGTAGTTGTAATTCTAATCCATTATTCTGAATATAGGTATTTCAAATGATTGTGACACTTGAAAATTTGTAGGGACAAGGAAAAGAAATGGGACAATAATGTAAAACAAGTTCTGAAGAATACTTCCTGTTCTTTCTATGTCCACCTGAAACTAAAAAAATT